GTTGGACGTTCCGCTGCCCCGGCTGCCCGGCCACGCTGTCCGCGGACGAGACGCACTTCCACGAGCGACACAACTGCATACAGTTCTTCTCTCAGGTACACATTCTACAATACAGTCTTTTTATTCATTTATGCAAAGTATATTTTTTTTACTCGCATATTAATGTTTTCGTGGAAATTAGGTATAAGAGGAAATCAATTTTTGACACATTTTATTTAGTGACTATAGTAACTACATTAGAACCTCGATAACTCAAACTTAACATAAAAACCTCTATAACTTCAAAAAATAATATGTTCTCTTCCCATCAAAGCCCAAAAACTCTATAACATAGACCTTTGATAACTTAAAACCTCTATAACTTAAAGTATTTTGTGTTTCCCTTGGACTTTAACTTATCGAGGTTCTACTATATTAGGAACAATTTGATAACGATTTTATTTTTACAGAATTATTACATCATTTTTTTTTAATCGACTCATATATAACTAGCTGTTCCCGTGCGGCTTCATCCGCATTAAATTATGAAAATTTTATTTTATTGTTTACATTTGTCAAATTATCAATAGCTAATGTCAAAATGACATGACATGACAAACCTTAGCAATCTTTCATTCTTGATGTTGGCAGCAACTTATGGTCTCTTTCCCACATTAGGGTTTTTATCCAAAATATTTATCCTCTAAGTTTAATGTCGTGAAAATATAAAGCCTAAAGCATGACTTAACTGTAGGGCTTTTTATTTAAAAAAAAGTTATTCGAAAATATGCTGTGATTGCTGACATCTTAGGCAACAAAAAAGTGTGTGTTTACGATTTATTATAATAGTATAGATAAAATGTAATTTTTGCCAGGTAATGGGCTACACACCGTTGCTGTCGACGCAGTTCCGCGCAGACTCTGTTCTGTTCAAGACGCGGATACCTCACGACAAACAGAAATGCTTCAAGTTTATATAGAACAGATACTGGCGACTCAGCTCATGATCAGTCTGGATTGGCACGTCGGGAACTAGCGTACTCTACTGCCAGACGTGCCAACTTGATATTGAAAATGTTAAATGTTTATTTAAACGATTTTTTGTAAGATTTTAGATATCCTAGTGAATTCTAAAAAAAGCTAGTGTAATGTATTTGACTTGTATGGCAGAAATACTTGTATGAAAGCATATTGTCCCTATCTCTCGCTCTCGGAAAAAGAGACAACAATATTTTTATATAAGTTAAAATGAGAAAAAATAAAAAAAGCATGTATATTGTTTTATCTGATTGGATGTTTATGTGTGTAATAAAATACATGTATTTAATCACATTTTACTAATATAATAAATGTGAAAGTTTAGATGGATGGATAAATGCATGGGTGTTTGTTAGAGTTTGTACCCTAAACGGCTGAACGGATTTCGATGAAATTTGGCATAGATGTAGAGGATAGTCTGGAAGAACACATAGGCTATTCACTTTTGTTTCAATTCCACGCGGACGGAGTCGCGGGCAAAAGCTAGTGTTCTATAAATGTAATAATGTGTTTGTATGTAGTTTTGAATTATGTATGATTTTTGAAGTTTGATTGTGAATTTTTCTAAAAAAAAAATACCAAAGAAAATGGTTAATAAATGTTTGAATCTTAAATAAATATTGTAGACCGACGAACAAACCTTATGTTGAAGTAGAATCGCGATGTTATGCAACATGTTTTGTGAAACATGTTTCTAAATGCTGGAACAAATTTTAAATACTTCGTTGTAAACGTCGCTTATATTCTGCCTTATTTTTTATGGTATTTGGAATTTAAGGCCTTATCATTTAAGATTTTTCATAATTAAATGTCGTTTTAGTTTATACAAAAAACTTAAGGAATTGAAGAAATATTAGAAAGTGTAAATATTTTATTAACAGTGCATTTATAGCTTTAAGTAAGTAACTTAAGTTTACAATCATTTTTTGACCGATTTGACAAAATAAGGAGGTAATCAATTCGTCTGTATGTTCTTTTTTATTTTTTTTATATATGTTACGGAATATGTTACACCGCTCCTAGTGAACCGATTTTGATAATTCTTTTTTCATCAGAAAGGTAGTGCTTGCAGGTTTGGTTTATTTTTGGAGTCAAAGACTACGGCGTAGTAAAATAGTTTTTTACTAGAATGATCCAACTGCTGTATCTGATTGAAAATGCAGTTAAGAAAAGCGCTTTAGTGGAAAAATGGTCTAATGTTGGTAATATTGACTTCCAGTAATTAAACGACTTGACTAAAGAAGCAAAAATTGTTATTCGATTTCTGTTTTAGTTTTTATTGAAAAATTATTTACTACGATCTATTTTGAATTAATTTTTTCATTGCATGTTTTTTTAACATTTTGACAACAATTACAGATATATAAGCGTACTGTTTATTTTAATATATTGTTATTATGGAATAACAATATTTTGTAGCTTCTTGATAAGTTAATAAAAAATGATAGCTAAATCATGTAATTTCATTAATTATTATTATAATTTAATAATATACATAAGTACATAATTCGTAGCTCTGTAAATTTGTATTATACTGACTTTTATTTTGATAGTAAAATTCAATTATTTTTTTTATTTGCATTATAAAAGAGACTTATGCAGTATGCGCTGTAAATCTGTGTAATAAAAATTCTTTTAAAACTACCGTCTTGTTATTTTACATGATTTTAAAAGTAAAAATGCATTTATTTGTAAATACGTTTATTAAAATTATACGTACATGACACATTTAATAACAAAATATAACTTCTTTTATAAGTTAAAAGTGAAATTATGATTTTGCTGATTGCATTATGTAAGATTATATTTTAACATGTTTTAAACATTTATTTCACTATAATTGGTAATAATTATAGTAATGTTTAAAAGATATTATATTATTTTACAATTAAATTTCATTCATTCTGAGATTGCAAGACAAACTGTGATTAAATACATTCATATACAAAAAACATTTACTCTTACTAAATAATTGATTATTTATTTATCAAGAATAAAAGGTTTTTATTCCATTTAATAATAAGATACATAATTTTTTTTTTCAAGAAATGGAACGTAGCCTTTTGGGTAGCGAATATTTGGAAAGTAAAGCTTCTTAGATGAAAAGTTTAAAAATGTAAACAGATATAAAATCTACATTACTATTATACTTAAATAGTTCAAGATAAATAGTACAAAATACATCTTTTGTATTATAGAAATGATTTATGCCGTAAATTGGAGGCTTCCATTTTTTTAAGTTTGTATTTTTAATAAAATACATTAGTGGGGGAAAGAAAATGTCCTTATCTGGGCAATGTAAATATTAAAGTTAGTATTTGGATGGTTTCGTTGGCAGTACAATTGACATGACTGAACACAAATGTTATATTCTATAATATCAAGGTGGATATTTTTTTTGTTTCTCTTGTCTGAGTTAATACAAAATTTATAAATGTTAATTTAAATCTGGTATGTTTGAATTCAAAGATAAAATTGGTAAGAGAATAATTAGAATAATCTCAAATATAGTGCGTAATAAAAATTTAGAACAACGACCCGAGCGACGAAAGTAGTTAACTATAAATTGATTGCATTGTTGAGATTTTACATTCACTTTCAATAAATCAATTTGATAATAAATAAACAAAAAAAAATTAACTTTTAGGGTCTGTGCTGTAGTTTTCTTAATGTAATTGTTTCTGTCGCTTGGGTAGTACAGATTAAAAATGTTTTAATATAATCTGTAGCGAGTTGTCAGTGCGGGCGGCGCGGGGGCTGGCGCGGGCGCGGACGCGAGCAGCACGTCGCTGGGCACGGAGATACCCCGCGCGGGCAGCGCTGGTCTCGCTCGCTCTCAGGCCATGTCCTCGCCTTTACCGTCCAACCTTTTCAACTGAAATTTATCGTTACTCGATTAGAACAATTAAACTCCATTGTTACTTAAGTTAAAACTTCAATAGGCAACATTGCACAAAGTAGAAATTTCTAAATCGATTTGTTAAGTCAAAGTACCGTAGTCTAAAAATTATTTAACATTTTACAAATACTTGCTTACTAAATACTAAAATATGTGTATTGAATTAAATTAGGCTTACGCTTTGTTCGACAGTCCACGCAGTAGGCGCTAGACGTCCAGTACGCTTGGAAAGATACTTATATTAAGCAAAACTTTACGTGTTGTTATGTAACTACTGCTAAAGACGACTGTGATAACAAAAAGAATAGATGCATAAGATATATTTACAGAATTACAGAATCACGAGATGTAAGGAAAAAACGACAAAAGAGCTAGATGGGACAAAAATTAAGTACTTAGTAAGAGTACAATAATAATAGTAGTATTTTATCGTAGATTTAATGAAACTATGTTATAGAAGTATATTTAGAATTACCGTTACTTTTATATTTGTATCGATCACGCATCCGGTAAATTGTACAATTATCTCATACTATTGTACAATATATTATCATTTGTAATTAATAATTATGTATTAAAATAAATGTGCAATTTAAAATTAATCTTTTGTCTAAAATCTAATCGACTTTGCTGAGATTTAAGCAAGCAAATAAAGATGGATGTATTTTAATTGTGGTAATTATTGATAACTTTACTAGTGACAAAGCCATCTGAAGTCATATAGATAACCATTTATATTTAAAGATTTCTAAAATAAAAACATCGCTTATCTAACAAAATCTTTAGCAAATTAAACTTAAGTTTTTTGAGCAAAAATAGTTTGTAATAATCAAACAACAGATGGCGTTGAAAGGTATGAAATTTTCTAAAGTCCAATCTATCGATTCAACATTTCCATAGATACATTGGCAGCTTTTAAGTGGTAATGAAATTAAAAAGAAGCTAAAAGGAGGGAGAAACAAAAAGTAATATGTAAAAGTCAATAATCTTTACCTCTTTGTCGTCTCCGGCGACGGGCCTGTAGCGAGGCGGGGTGATGTTTTCCGACGGCGGTGCAGAGAACCCGTGCACGTACAGGAGCGCCGCAGCCACGCCGCCGGCCACCGGGCCCGCCCAGTACACCTGAACATACAACATTAGTGGTCATTGTCATATAGGAAAGAAAAGTACACCTTACTTAGGGTTTATAGACCAATTAAATACACAAAATGTGGTAAATAGACCAATTCCAACTGAGTCTTCAGTTCTGTCTTTTTCAAACTAGCTTTCGCCCGCGACTTCGTCCACGCAGAATTAAAAAACAAAACGATTAGCATATGTCTTCTTCCAGACTGTCCTGTACATCCGTACCAAATTTCATCAAGATCCCTTCAGCCGTTTAGGCTACAAACATCCATCCATCCATCTAAACTTTAGAATATATAATATTAGAATGATTGATTATAATCTACACCCACATTAGAAAGTCTTCTTTGAAATTAACAAAAAATAGCATTTAATTAGAAAAATACGTAAAATGATGTCTAACCTAGAAATAAAACTGAAACATATACTAAAAGAGGTTGCAGCCAATGTTTAATATCAGACGGTCAACAGATCAATAACATTGGTGACAAGTTGCGGACGTCTTTCAAAGGACCCGGACAAGCAGATAAGATTAAACAGAGAACGAGCAGTTTCTATTCATGCAGTTTGAGGTGCGGATTACATAAATGTAAATATTGTCTTTTTTAATCTATTGTGATCATTGCAGTTTATAGCGCAATCTAAGATTAATAATTTAGATTGGATATTAAAACTCCGAGAAAAGCCACAAGCGCTATCGAATATAGAACTGAACAACACTATTCTTGACACATTTCGTTATATAAAACAGAAAAAAGACATATCACATACCAGGGAAGATAGTGTTGATTATATCTTTTTATTTACTATTAGTGCTTTCCAATTAATTGGATTACTTGGAAAGACAGTAACATTAATAGGCGGTCCGTTGGGTTTGTAACTATTATGTAGTTATCAACTATTTGCATGTAGGTGGCGCTTTTACTGCGTCCTCGTGGTAATGCAATTTTAATGGTATTGCCCCACCGCACATTGATTAAATATTTGCAATGACGATGTTCCACATCTAATGTTGTAAAAATTAAAAATAACGTTTAATGAACTATTAATTTCTGTTATAAGCTTTAAATACAGTTCCTATTCAGTGTTATATTTAAAATAATTATTACACAACTAAATATTTAAAACGAAAACCGCTGCTATTATAGAATTAATAGCTTTCGCCTGAGACTCCGTCCGCGTGGAATAAAAAAAAAAGCGAGTAGCCTATGTGTTTTTCCAGATTATCCTCAAAGTCTATGCCAAATTTCATCTAGTTCCGTTCAACCGTTTAGGCTACAAACTCTAACAAACATCCATCCATCTAAACTTTCGCATTTATAATACCTATTAGTAAGAAAGATAGAAGTAACGTATATAACTTCGGGTATCTGTGTTTCAAAGTTGATTGGTATATCACTGTTTCTTGCAGTCTTGCAGATTTTGTTTGCTAATCCAACATTTTACTCTTTTATTACTAATATTATAAACGCGAAAGTCTAGACGGATGATGGATGTATGTTTGTAGCCTAAAATGCTGAACGGAACTCGATGAAATTCATAGATGTAGTCGATAGTCTTTAAGAACACATAGGCTATTTACTTGTTTTTTTTTTAATTCCACACGTACGGAGTCGTGGGCGAAAGGTAGTATGTTATATAGTTTGCATTTCAAGTCACCGCTGGGTAATAGAGTGAAGGGTATAACTATAAATGGTCGGTGTGACATGTGTTACTAGAAAAAGCTATGATCCAATCCTAGCTGTAATGGATGACGGGTCGTTTAGGACCGGACACGGCGGACCACGCGGCCTACACGAGACCACATTAAGACCATAAATTGTCAAGATCATTGTGACAAGAAACAGTTAACGATATTCATAACTCCATTTGTTTGTACTTTTGATCGGATAGGATTTGTAAAAGTACGTAAATGTAAAATAGCAATTTTAATATAGCTAGTAGATTTACGTTTATACACGAACAAACGATACTATGTTATTCAAAGAAACTACTAGTATTTTATATTACTGTAGCGTTGGACTATTGTTGATGTTCTATTGTTATTTCTCATGATATTAAAATGGCAACAAAAAGATTCTATTATTTTCTCTGTCGAAAAGCGTGATCGTAATCATCTAAGATACTGGTAATTAAAGTTTCATTGAGATTATTTTTTATGTAATCGCCTACAGATGAGTCATTTTACTTATTTTTCAAGCAAATTTATATACTGGCTATTTTCATTTTGTCTTGCCAAGATATCACGATAGGTTTATTACCAGTTTAAACACTTCAGTACTCGATAATCACTTATTTCTACGATTTTATAAAACAGTGAGAAATTCCATTCTAAAGATAAATGTCTTCTCTTACCCAATGGTCATTCCAAACATTGGCAACGATTGCGGATCCAAAGGAACGAGCGGGATTCATAGCGGAGCCTGTGTAGTCCACGGCCAGCAGATGTCCCAGGGTCACCGTCAGGCCTATCGCGAGGGGCGCGGTCGCCTTGCTGTCTGGTTTGTTGGGGTCACACACCTGCAATATGATTAGTTAGTAGTGCATACGTTTACATCTACCTTATTTTAAACCTAAACGATATCTCAATATCAGTTAATATAAAGTATTTACATCAATACATGTGTGTTTTTATAAAAATTTCCCCTTACAAAATGTCTCAGAGTATATTTTATAAGAATCAATTACGATCTTTATAAAAAAAAACAATCTTGAACTTGAATTAGGTGCATTGATCTTTATTGCCATAGACGATAGATGTTCGGTTATTGATCCGGACATTTCATATTTATCTTGATAAGATGATATCGGACAATTTCTAAAGATGCCGTCTGTGATTTTATTTATGACAGACTTCCCAAAAGAAGGAGGTACTCAATTAGTCTGTATATTTTTTTTGTGTGTTACGCATAACTCTGCCACTAGTGGACCGATTTTGATAATTTTTTTTTTATCCGAAAGGTAATGCTTGTAGGTGGGTCCCATTTTTTTTTGTTTGATTTTTGGAGTCAAAATCTACGACGTAGTTAAATAGTTTATAAAACTAATGCTATTGATTTTAATCTCAAGTACAACTGATCTGTGGCCGTTTGCCGATTATTTTGAGGATGCTATCGATTTGCACATATATAGAGTTGTAGACGATATGTTTTATGCTCAGTTTGTCAACAGATGGCGTGTTATTCGAGAGTTCCTGACCTTGACATTTTTAATGTAATAACGGACATCCACAAAATATAAAAGAACAAATGCAAAGTAAACATAATTTAATGGCGTCACCATGTCGTTTTATCTCTGATACTATATTAATAAATTTTTGAATAAACAGGTTACGATATGCTGGTATATTGACGATATATATTACAAAAAATTCGCCATAAAAATGTTACATGTCTACATTAGTTTATTAGTTTGATGATTAATAATTTCTATTATCAAAGTACAAATTTCTATTTGTGATATTGCGTTTAAAATAGAGTATTAAAATTATCATATTTACTTTACAGTAGTTATGTGGTTGGCATTATTAAAGCTGACTGTTAGCGAGGCTTAGTGAATAATCCCTAACTACCTTAGGTCACGAAATACGACGTTCTCTTCTATTAAATTCTAGATTATTTTTAACACACTCATTGCAAAATTTTTGTATTGGAAAAAGGCTTAGTATTAGTTATAACTTTTAGGTCTTTTAGAATATAAGTCGTTTTTTTTACGTAAAACCAATAAACATGGGATCAAATGATCTGTTCATTCTGCTCTTTACATACGACCTTAATAGCTCTTAAAACTAGACAAGAAAGTATAATTTTTCCCTTAAACGTTTCATTAGCATTTTAACTCTCTACTTACACCACACACGACAAAGACGAGAACGAAACCAAGGAAGAATTCAATCCCGAATCCTTGCAGCTGCGTGACGTCAGTGCCCAGTCCGGTGACGCCGAGCGAGCCAGCCGCGCGGTCCGGCGTGAAAGCCTTCAGCAGGCCAGAGCCGGCCGCCGCGCCCGCGCACTGCGCAATCACGTACAGTACCGCGCGAGCGGGCTTCACTCGACCGGCGGACGCCAGACCAGCTGTCACAGCCGGGTTCACATGACCCCCTGATACGTGACCGATGGCCTATAGACAAAAATATATATATCACAGATGAAAATAAAAATCAAACCTCAAAAATCCTTAAAAATATATCTAAAACAAAATTGCAAGTTACTAGTGACCTTTATTTGGTGCATTTGAAGTTTTATCGCGAGTAATAAAACACTATAAAGTAACAATTATGCAATTGTGGTTATCGTCCACTTGTATCGTTTTCATAGCTCAAAACTAAGTAAAAGACGTTGACTTTGTAACACCAGACAAAAATATAAAATTCAATTTGAATCACTATTAACGAGTTATTAATAGAAACGTTACACATACGAAGAATAAACAAATAGATTGTTAAATCTGTTATGTAATTAACTTGTAAAACTGTAATTGACGATATCTATAATAAAACAAATTATTAAATTAATTAGGGGAAATTTCTTTCAACATTCATAGTAATAAAAACAAATGAGCACTTACAGAAACAATAGCGAACACAGATAATCCAAATGCGAGTGCTATGAGAACAATATCAGGCGCTGCGCCCGCGCCTTGAGCTATGTTCACGCACGCACCGCAACCGAAGAGGTTCAGTAACAAGTTACCTGAAAAAAATAACTCAATTTAGTATTTTATACACGCCTAATACATCCTTAATGTGAAGCGAAAAGCTACTAAGTTAGTGGTGACTAGATCTTAGTCAACCATGCTGGCCCAAGCGCATTGGTTGTCTACACATAGTTTGTGCATCACGTTTCCTTTACTTTAACATTATATTACAGTCTGTCAGTATCTAATTCAGGCAGTATCTAATTGAAGTGGTTATTTTATAATAGGTAACATAAATATATACCAATGAACTCTGCTAATATAGCTTTGACGATACCCGATGATCCGCCAGACAACTCGTCCAGTCCAAGCTTCCTTCCAAGTTCGCCCATTGTTCTGTGGGAAAATATGTTTACTTATTATTTAAAAACAAACATATTTATAAACTTAATTCATTAGTATATATTCTAATTATTTTATGAACTAGAATGATAGGGTTATGAAAACGTTAACTTAATATTGAAGTTCTTTTTTCACAGCATAAAATTTAAATATTCCATTTCGCATACAATTTTTATAATTTATTTTCTTCAATTGCTGTTTATATTTAACGTCAAATTATCTAATGTGTTTTTATTAAAACACGTAAAGAAAACGTTATCCCAGAAATAACGAGCAAATTGATCTACTTATATAAGTACAGACAGGAAAAACCCACTGTTAAAAATTCAGATGTTTATCGAAAAATTATTACATTATTGGTCAGACTATTCTTTTAGCATATTTGTGGACATACCTTACTCTTTTGTTAAGAGATTCTATGCGCTTTGACAACTTTCATACGACTACCGCTTTATCAACAGTTACAACTATATATACGGGAAAAAACGGATGAAATCGTGTTCCTATCTGTTTTAATTCATCCGAACTGCATATGCAAACCGGTTTATCATTTCCGAGTAAATAATTCGTTATACCGCAGCCTCCTTTCGTATCAAATGACGAGGAATTGGGAATACCATCGTGACGTAGATGGATACGAATTGACAATATGACGTTTAAGGAAATATTTTTAACAAGGTAAAAACATTTTACTTTCATACCTCACAAATATTTAATTAGTCCACGTATAAAATTTTCTTAGGTAATAAATAACATTTAGTATTTTGATATATTGCTTTAGTATTTTGATATATTTCTTACTAGCTTTCGCCCACGACTTCGTCCATGTGGAGTTAAAAAAAAAAACAAAGGTAGCCTATGTGTTCTTCCAGACTATCCTTTACGTCAATGCCAAATTTCATAGAGATCGGTTCAGCCGTTTAGGCTACAAACTCTAACAAACATCCATCTAAACTTTGGCATTTATAAAATTAGTAAGATAAAATATTATTGTTTATAGTTTATTTTTATTTAAATTATTCCACATTAGGTTCTCGAAGTGTGTTTTACAGCGTAATTTTCCTTAAGTATAAATAAACCTTCAACTTTCATTTCTTGTTATTTTCCATATACGAAAGTAAAGTACTCGTATAATTTTAAATTTGCCAAGATTGTGTTTGTACCTTGACTTTATTGGCGATGAACTTTTGACCGTATGCGGTACAATGACTCTTATTTTACATTTTTTACGATTACCCACATTAATTGTGTTGCGGGAATTTTTTATACAGTGCACCGGACGTAAATTAGGTAGATTACACTAATTACACAGAAAGTCGGTCTGTTTGTTGGCTACGTTTTAGATGGGACAATTCATTGACGGGAAATTAGGGACTAGCATTTCCGCTAAATAACGAGATAGAGGTTCGTTATAATTATATTGAAATGCATTTGATGTGTGAATGCGTGTAGTGAATTACCTTCATTGTTCAGAAAGCTTACTATTGTTAAATTAACAGTGATTTTCTAGTACGTAAAGTATAGTAATATGGAACTCATTCCCATGTTATGAAAATGTTCATATTCAACTAAAGAATTTGTTTCCAAGTTAATCAGGATACCTAGTTTTTCAATTCGCTTTAATATATTTAACAGAGACGGCTATGTTTATTTTCACGATTTAATAACTATAAATTTAACAGTTTATGTTAATTGTTAAAATCAGTTAATGCAAGTTATTACCATGAGATGATTACTGGCAGTTGCATAAACATTGTGTCATTATTCCATGCACCTTGTAGGAACAAGGCTTGTGCCGTTCGCCGTGACCGATACCAAAAGGAATAAAAATATGCATCACGATTGACGCCTTGAGTTGCTTATTCATATCCATTTACGATTGATCTTTAGATCGAAGCTGCATTATCTTAATTATTCCAAGAATTAAAATAGGAAACAAAAGCTTATGGTTATATCGACATGATCGGAAAAGTTTGAGTTATAGTAAAACGATGACGCAGAATATAAAAATGTTGTTCGGAAGATAATTTTAATATCATTAATGGAGGAAATTAATATTAAATATTTATGATTAATGACACAATATTGGAAACGTTTAAGTATACGTATTACTTAAATGTAGATATAAAAGTCATATTATTTTATTATTGAAATCAAAGAAAGTTGTTAAAAAAGTTAAATTACAATTTAACTGTAGAACCGTTCTGTATCACTTTTCGTTTAGGTTAGGTCTAGACATTGAATTTTCAATAAGTCTGTAATGTATTCGCACTAGAATGTGAATAAATGGTGTAGTACATATTCGTAAAACTTAATTTTATTATATTATATCTTCTAATTCGTAAGTTATGTAACATTTTATGTAAAGTTTGCCATAGGTGACATTTTTGTATATTTAACGCATGTGCTAATAGATAGGGGCCATAGAGGAAGCTATGCGAGTATGATTTAGTCTACTTACATGAAATAATGCTGACATATTTGACAATAATGTGTCAATCAAGAATATTCTTAAATGGAATTTAATTCTAGGTACGACTGACTAAAAACTATTAACCGACTGAGTTAAATTGTACTTTTGATTGAAGTAATACATAAATATAAAAAAGTAGCTGTTGCTCGCGACTTCATCCACGCAATATTAAGATAAAAAGTAGCCTAACATACCTGTCTAAGTCGGTTACCCTTCAGTGAAAGTTCGGTCAAAATCGGTTCAACCGTTTCGGACAGTACCCGGAACAAACGCGGCTTGTGAGCAGACAGACAGAAAAAAAAAATTAAATGCGATTTTCGTTATTAGCAACGGAAATACATCATCTTCCCGAAAACTGAAATTTTAATTTTGATGTTACCAACAGGCACATCAGTTTTATTATATGTATAGATGTCGATGTTTTAATTGATTGGTTTACATTACAGGATTATCGAAAAAGTTTTGGTAGTGGACAGAGAGATAGAGCAATTGAACCATTTGAACTGTCAGTTAAACTGTACAGTTAAATCCGAACGTGTGTAGCTGCCTTAATTTAATCCTTGATTAAACATAAACATGGTGCGCATTTATTTTACTTCCAAAGAATTAACAATTAAATACTACCGTACACATTGTAGGAATTTATAGTAAAGGAGTCAATAATTTTAATAACGCTGAATTCTTTCTAAGGTCAAGTTCATATATGGAAATAACGATTTACACTTATCAATAAACACGCACCTAGTAAAATATTACTATAATAACTACTTGTGTTCTACGACTTTTTTCCTACAGTAATATTTGAAATGGAAAGGTTTCGTTCAATTGCTGTACGTAAACGAGGCTCTATCAATTTGAGTATTGGAATATTCTAGAGAGTGCTAATGAAGGTCTGTTTCAACTAAAAGTGTAGTGAGACCATTACTACGTGACTAAAAGGGTCATTATGACAACCCTATGATTATAATGACATTTTGTCATGTTACTGTCAATGTGTACTTGTGATTGATTCACGGAACATAGAATATTTTAAGAGTTCAAGGATGTGGTCGTTAATAAGCTGTTTTGACGGTAAAATATTGTCAAACAATTGAATGGACTAAGGATTTCCACTGTCGATATACTTGTATAAAAATATACCTTTTACCCGCGACTACGTCTGCTCGTAATTTAAAAAAAAACTTAGTTGTTTTCTTCCAGAGTGTTCCTACAGCTTTGTCAAGTTATGTCGAGATTCGTTCAGTAATTTTGGAAATACGTAGTAACAAACATCCATCCAAACTTTCTTTGCTACGTTCTACGTAATTGTGTAAGTACAGATAGCGGATTAACTAGCAATTACAATGTATAAGTACTGTTTAATATTACAATCAAGTAGGCATTAGCACACGCGGACAATAATAGCTATTTCCCCTGAGTAAACTCCCGCGTGGTCAGAATAAAATTTGCTTATAAGAATAACAATGTATCCTTTGACAATGCACAACAGTTCGGATGTATTTGGCGTTTGTCCTTTGAGCCAGGGCTAAACCTTTTCCTTTGGGAGTTTGTAATGCTTTTGTTTGAAACGTCTACAAGGTGAGATAACATTTAAAATGAAGAAGTATTTACGTTGTATTTTAAATTTCGTATGCACAAACGCTAGTAGCTTTACTTTGAGTAATATATTGCATTGACTGTTAAATACGTGCTGGAATGAGTAAACATGAGTCCACCAATAGGAGTATAGTATCGCATTTAACATAGGAATTTAAGGCAGGGAAGCTGTTTACTTATTTTTATCTGTGTATTTGAGACATTGATAAACTATTCTTATATCTACTATATACATATCTGTTAGCAATCTTCCATAGTTCGAGCTTGTAGACATTTTAAATTAAATAAGCCGCTTAGCTTAATATGGATGAATAAAAAATTAAGGCTATACATTTTTCAAGATTAACTTCTCGTAATCGCAAAGTATGAAATTAAAATGTAAACATATTGTTTCTTAATACAGTTTTGTTCGAATAAAGTAGTAGAAGATAAACATTTCTAGAACACGGAGTTTAGGAGGCCGACCTGTTCGACAAGTTGAACATTCGGTACAGTTTCAAAGTTACCAAGATAAAGAGAGCTTTAAGATGGTGGGTTAGATTAAATTCTTCGCTAAAACAGTTACAAAACTGGCGTTAATAAGGTTATTTTATCCTCAGAGGGGACAAAGACCTTCATTCAGTAATGGAAGTCACGTCGTGATTCGGCAACAAAATGGCGTCGAATATTACGCAGGATAAAATGTTTAAATGGTAAAAAATATCTTTGTTGCCTGGATAATAGTTGTTAATACCTTACTTGTATAATCTTAATTCAATGAATTAAAGACACGTCGGAGGATGGACGAGTATTTTAATTTCAAAATACACATTTTTTTGTATAGAAATGTATCTAAATTCTAAATACTAATAAAACGTTTCGGGTATAAAGTATACATAAAGTAGATACAAATATAGAATATGTGTACATTTATTTACTTAACTAA